GGAGAATTAAGATGACTGTTCGGGGATGGGAAAAGAGCGAGGGATCGGACGTCGCCCGATAACGAGCTGGAACTCGCGCGAGACAAACTCCCGCAGCTTCTACAATATGGATTATCCGATCGGACAGGATAGTCCGCGACTGTAATCCTATTCCAGTCCCGGTTCGAATAGATGCCGCGACTATAATCCCATTTTAAATCGTCTGAGCGCGAGGCACGTCCCGCGTGTTCGCTCCATTCGCGGTATCCGCCCGACTGATTGAATATCTCGCCGGCAATCAACGCCGACTTGGTATTTATCATCCATTAACGGGTCTATTAACGTTACTCCGGCGGCAGCGAATTATAACACGTCTCTCCGTTTACGGTCGCTATCTCTTACACCTTTTACGAGTTGCCGCGCGTTTTTCTCGCGACCCCGGGTAATCGGAACGCACCGGTTAACGCGCGTTTTGTCGTTAACCTTCCCCGACGCGTCTAATTTCTCAGATTACGGCGAAGTCGGCGATCCTCCGAGCCGACCGTGACGCGAGTATTCCAATTCCCCGGATTAATTGGACTAATTCGGGAAAACCCTTTAATTGCGGACCGACTGGGAACGAAACGTTTCAATTAAAGGGTGCAGCGATCGCAACAACCGTTTCGATGCGTACGCGCAGGGTCTCTGGTTCCCCGTTAATCGGAATAATTGACCCAAATTGCTCTCGTTTTCCGTAGTTTGCGTCTACGAACGCCGAGGAAAGGCGTCGCTCGCCTGAAATAATCTCCCCTCGAACGCTCGTAGATTTTCGCCGGGATCGACGGATCGATCCGCGCGTCCAGCGATTATCGGGCTTCGAATCGAAGCGGCGAGGTGGTCGCGGGGAATGCAATACCGGGATGTCGCGAGAAACAGCCGAAATTCGCGCTCCGGCCCCAGAGTTATGGGAACGCACGCGTTCCGACCGAGGAAACGGGAGCACCGGGGAATTATCAGCGAGCCGGATTTCGAGGGATCGGGCATTTTTTCCCGGATAAAATTCCTGGGAGAGCGGGCCGCGAACCATTCCCGAGTATCCGGAGTTAAATATCGGCCCCGGCTCGAGCCGGAGCGGCGAGCTAGCCGCAAGTTTACGTAGCCCGTGAATGGCCCGTCCCCGCGGCGCTCGCCTCGAACTAATTTTCGAGGCGACTGCCTCCGAATGTGTTTCCCTTGTCCGCGCTTTCCCCGGCGCAGTAGTTCACCGGCCGCAATCTAGCCGCCTCCAATCTCCCGAGAAGCCTGAAACAACGGGCACGGTCGCCTCGCAGGCGCACCGCGCGCGCCGCAGGCTTTCCGGCGCAGAAAAATACGATATTTCACCAGCCGAGAAATTATTCGCCGCGGAGCGTAACGAGCCCGAAAGGATTTAACGCGGAACGTCCAGAGTAGACGACAGATAAGAGGAAACGCCGGCGGGCGGGGCGGGGGAAGCCCGGTCGTTGCCGCGCGGAATCGTTCCCGGCGCCGAACGCGGAAAAATCGAAGCTCTTTTGTCTCGCGCGAGCGATTTTTTCGCGGAAACCTCCCTCCGAGGTCGGATCCATTCAAAGCGGGCCGCGCGGAGCTTGAAGGGATTTAATACAAGTCCGTGACGCAACAACGGAGCACGCGGCGCGTAGTTTCTGCCGGAGGGAACGCGACTCGGCGCGGAATCGAACGGGAGAACGGCTTTTCTCGTCTAGTCAAAGAGTGGATTTTTAACTGGAATCCGCGTCGAGAAGGGAACGAGGAGCATTGTTTCGAACGAATTCCGAATCCTCGGGATAAAGAGGAAGTTCCGCAGCTCTTTTCTCCGGCGAGCTCGCGCTTGTAACTGGACGAGATACCATTAACAAGGATAACGAATCGAGCGCCGTCGCTCCCGTGATTTCCCTCGTCCGACCCATCGGCCGGAATCGCCTCGATGATCTCGCGCATATTGATTCCGAGGTCAGCTCGAGTTCACCGACGCAATTCCGATGGTTCCACCGGCAACCCCGCGGACGTAATGGATCCTCGAGGCTCGCCGCGTACGTCCAGCGCGTCGGGCATCTCTCCTCCGCGGAGGATACCTCGGAGTTGTCTGGATTCTTCGGGCCGCACGACGGAAAGCGATTCTCGAGAGCCGGCCGTAGCTCTCGCGCGGCTCGTGGAGGTGTAATCAGGGCATTCGCATTCGAGCCGGCGCTCGCGTTTCGACGGAATCACGCGTCCGTCATAATTCAAGCGCGCGGAAGAAAGAGCCGGCTCGATCCGCCGGGATCGAAAGCATCCGCGATCGTTTCGCCCGATAGATGGTTGCACCTGTGTGTATTTACGAGCCGCGAGAAACGAAACCGTGTGTGCGGCGCGGCGGCGTTTCCACTGGTCGGTCGCGTCGGAGCGCGAGGAAATTTGTGGGTTCGCCGGGACCCTGCTCCGCGGTCTTGTTCTCTCCGCGGTTCTCACCGGTATCCGTTATTTATTCACCCTCCGGGTTACTTTATCGCCTCCGCTCGACGCATCGCGCGCCGATTTCGATCCAGCCTTCCTTTCGGCCTTTCAAGCTGATTAAGCCGCGAGCTAAGTCGAGTCGATAGTCGAAGCGGCGCCCGATTCAACTGGTCCCTCGGCGAGTCGAGACGCGAATACGCGGCTGGCAATTCTCTCCCAGCGATGCGCGTATTGCGGACGATACGACGGCTGATAAAAGGCTGGAGAGGAACGCGCGCGGTTGTCGGTGGTAGTTGCCGTTAATCGCCAGTACTTTCCTATTGTGCCCGGTAACGAGGGATTTTCAGTATGCCGGAGTGCTCGACCTCGCGGCTAGTATCCATTCATAGCAATCCGAAGCGATCGAGATTCCATTGTAATTCGGCCCGACTTGTTTTCACTCTAATAAGCGATTCCTTTCTCATGGAGTAATCACTCCGCCGTGACTCGTAACTCATCGTCGCACGGAACTAGCTAACGCAAAGGAAGAAACGTCGACGGTGCACTCGCGTCTCGTAAGCCGATAAACTCGAGGAGTTAATCGCGTCGTCGTTGCGACGCGCGTTCGCGACATAGTTCGCGTCGGTCGACAAAAGGGTTGCTATTGCTGGCAAGGGTGAACCGCTGGAAACCGAGCCAATTAATATCGTTCGCTCCCGAGGAGAACGCGTCGCGATAAAACCGTGCGTTCCTCGCGAATTATAAATTCCAGGGCTGCGGCCGCGGCTCGACCTGCGCGACACACCAAATTGCCGTCCCGGGGAAGCCCAGGGATTAATTTCCAGCGAGCTCGACCGATCGACGGAGATCCGATCGAGCGAGTTTTGACCGGCAACCATTAGAACGGGGAACAAGGTGCTTTATAGCCCCGATTTATCGGGGAATTTTATTTCCCGTGGCACCGCGCGTTCGTTGAGTAGCGCGCGTAGGAGAGATTGAAATTTTAATGGAGTCCGGCGCCAATGTTGAATCCAATCCCTCCGATCGAACGGTTCGTCCGGAGAACGTTTAATTACGTAATTGTATCCACGGTTGCGGGGAAACCGGCCGATCGAACCACGGTCGCAGTAAAACTTTAATCGATCCCAATGAAACTTTGATACTTCGCGATCCTTTCGCCGAAGACCTCCTTCGTCGTTCGCGCGCAAACAAAGCTGCCCGTGGAAGTTCGCGTTACCCCGGCGAGAGCGGTATTCCTCGATCGTTCGATTATCCGTACGTTTCGCTGGACGTCGTCAACCGGAATACCAATTACAGGGAAACAAGCCAGCTAAGTCTTGGTAACGGTTTACGATCGGTGTGTCCACCGCTCGAGTGCTCTTCCGTCGGTCTCGTTGATTAGACCGTTGCCGGATTGCGATTAGATTACCGCATTATCAAGGAGATCGGGAGTGCTCGTAGTTGGGACACTCGGAACGTGAATTTTCCGGACAAAGCTGAAAGGACAAGAAGAAGGAGGCGAGAGGACGATAGGATTCGCGAGCATTCGTCGTCGAGCGGGTTTCGTTGACGTACGAAGGTTGCCAGAAGTCCTTGTCGCTGTGGAATTCGAAGGGCCAGGTCGGCCTTGGGACTCTACTCGGTATCGGCGGCCGGTCCTCTCCAGATGGTGCACGAGGTCAAGCAAAAAGAACTGCGAACGCCAGCGAGTCCGGACCTACCACTGTTCGCCTCGCTGTTTCTTTTCTTCCCGGGCATTACGCCTCCGCCGCTCGGCCCATTCCGCTTTTCCATTTATTTCTGCCGGCGAGTCGCGAAATCGCGTAATCCGCTGTGCTTTACCCTCCTTCCCTCCCTCTCTCTCTCTCTCTTTCTCCCTATCCCTCTCCTCCCTCGCCTCCCGCGGCCCCCTCCTCGCACCGTTGCGAAATGGCAGGCTGACATTTCGAGCGCTCAGCCTCCCGCGACATCGACCGAACCACCGTTTCATTGTGTAACCCCGATTATCGTCGGACTTCATTGTCGAGGAGGAATCCGCGCGTGGGACGATGCCTCGATTTCCCACTTTGTTTATACCCGCGGCATTTTATTCGGACCGAAATGAGCTTTCGATCCGGACGCGAGATATTCTATTAGCTCCACTCTGCCTCCACGATCCTCCCGTAAAGCACCACGCACGACAAGCTTTTACATCGCGCGGCACTCGAACGAGGAAATTCAACCGCGACTCTCGCAACGGCGAGCGACGCCCACAGCTCGAGAAACTTTTCGACTCTTACCGCGAAGAAAAGCTTCTCCTCCCGAACAGCGTTTACAAACTTCGCCGACCACGAATCCGTCTCTGATCCGGCGCTGCCTCGCGAACCGGTCCGGTTTCGAAACTTTGCACGGCCGAGAGGGTTGCGCCGAACAGAGGCAACAACCGAAAAGTGGAAACGCGCGAGGAAAGACGGCGAAATACGGCGAAAGGAAGCCTGTCGTTTGCGCAAAGCTCTCTTCCCGGCCAGCCTAAATCGTCTAGACCCGCGAAATCCTCGTTGCGGATGTTTGCGACTCGTTTCCCTGACGTACTCTTGATTCTGTTTCAGTTACCAGTGGGCGGGGGTGGTGCTGTGCTGGTGCTCAGCGAGCTTGAAAGCATGGCGGCCAGGCAACAGCGGGAAATTGCCCAGCAGAGACGCCTCCTGGAGCAGAGAGAGGACCGTCTAGCCGTGCTTCGAGGCGCACAGGTAAGACAACTCTTCCATTTCGCTCCCCCGAACCGAGTCGATGCGGAAATCATCGTGAAAATTGCTCGACGAAGCCACGGTAATATCCCTGGCGGTCTCGTTCCCGGTGCGTTCGGCTTCCGCCCGCGATCCCGACTCAGCAAGACGCGTCTTTCCGTAATTGCTCTTCGGCGACCTGGCCCCGTTATCCGCCACCTCTGCTCCCTTTATTTCGCGAAACGCGCGATCCGCGTATCCCGAAGCACCGATAAACAGCTCCGCTGCAGGATGGATGATAACGAAGAAACAGGAGCACGAAGAAATAAGCAAATGGTACGGTTATTGGCTTTTCCCGACGCAGCTTCCGTCCTGCCAGCGATTCGAATGTTCCAGCGGAATTCCAGGCGGATGATGCCGAGGATTCCGGGATACGCGCGTAACGAGACGTCGGCTAATTGTTCCGGAGCTTTCTATTATCGCAGCTTTTGATCCCCGACGAAAGTTCATTTTAATTGTTCCCCTTACGCGTCCCCTCCGTCGCGAATTTACGCAAAGACGATATCAGCTCCGGCGGTACGGCATTCTTCGCAGGATGCTTTCCAAGGACCTCCCTTATCCCTAATTATCTTTATTCCCATAAGTCCGTTTTACGGCACAGCCCGTCCCCACGCTCCACCCCTCATCCCCTTTCCAATCAAGGCACTTCAGGCTCGCGCTGTTTCCCCATAAGCAGGACGCTCGAAAAAGCTCGAAGATTTCATTTAATTCGCCCGCCGAGATTGGATCTAGCGCCGCTGTCTGGCGTAGGCCGCGAAAAGGGGGTTAACAGCCGGCGTCGAATGATTTCGACGAATCGGGATTTTACAGCCGATGAAAATTACAGTCCCTTAACAATCGCCGGCAGTAAACCAGACCGTAAAGACGTCACCCGTTCAACCCCGGACGTAAAGCTCGCGAACGACCCCGGGTTTTCATCGTTCGTATTATTGTTCGCCGCGCGACCCTCGGCGCTCTCCCCGGAGGGACTTCCGTCCGCGGGGAATCGGAAAGGCCCGCGCCATGAATAATTCAATCTAATGATAGACTCCGCGGGACAGTTTATGCCTATTATCGGCCGGATCAGCGTCGGTCCCTTTCGACCCCGTCGTTCCGCGAGGACGATCTCCGTTCCCGATCGTAATGGCCACCCAGAGACCGACCGCGGCTCGTTCCGCGCGGGCCAATTTCGACCGCTCCGCTCGTGAGTTAGCGGGATTCTCGTGACCGACTCGCGGGCCCGTTCGCGCGCGAGATTCCAGCGAAATTTATCGCCCGGCGTAAAGCCTAATAAAGCGTAATCGCTGGCTCGAGTTTCGCCGGTGTACATTCCGCGCCGCGGACGCGTATTTAGCTCCTAATCTTGAGTTACGGGTCGAGCCCGGCTCCGCGACCCCGAAGTCTTGCCCCGCCGGCTCGCGAAATCTGCTTAGAAAATGATTTACGGGGAACAATCATGCCGCGGCTCCGACTCTATTACCGTTTCTCCGTTGGCTTCGCAGAGATCCTTTACGTTCGCCTTTCGTTCGCGAACTTCGTCGGTGCCCGTCCGCGCCAAGTCGAAGTCGAACCGAGTCGAACGAACTTCGAGTCCTTACCGTTAGGATGACCTTGCAACCTGTGACCTTGACACTAAACGGGGAACCTGTCGGGCCATCCTGCGCGCGGGCAAGCGCGATAGATCGATAGCGCGCGACGATTACGTCGCGGAACTGCGCTACGGGACGATGATCCGGTTAGAACGTTGACTCGCGCTCGTCCTCTCCGCTCCTCCGGCGTCGGGACGTTTAAACCGGTTCCGCGAGGGACACGCGAAAATCTCGAAAACTCGGTCCCGAAGGATCCGTCCTCGCGATCCTCGTCGCCGCGAGCAAGTCGCTCTCCGCTCTCCCCCTGTCCGCGCCTTTAAGCTCCATTTAACGCCGGCGAGTCGGTTTTTCCCAGGCAGGCTGACGCGGAGTTAATCGGAAAGCTCGCGACCTCGGATCAATTCTTCTCGAGAATCGCCGACGAGAGGGCCGCGCTCGCCGGCGAGCTTCCGGGCCCGCGTACTTGCTTAGCTCTCGAGGAACGTGTCGAGCAGCGACGTGTAACGAGCCAAGCGTCGCTTCTTCGACGCTAATAACCAGATTAAAGAGATAGGTGTATCGAGCCCGCGCTCCTCCCTCTTTCTCTCCCTCTCTCTCTCGAGTTCGTAATCTCGCGCGGACCGATACGATACGGCACGGTGATCGCGTTAGCCGCGCGAGGACGCGTGGTTGCGCCGA